GATTTTAACCTAAGATCTTTTAAGTGCGAAAACTGCCTTAAGGCATTTACGTTAAAAAAAGACCTAGCGAGGCATATAGTAGCAAGTTGCAAAGGAATTGAAAGGGAAGCCGATTTTAACCTAAGATCTTTTAAGTGCGAGAACTGCCCTAAGGCATTTACGTTAAAAGTAGGCCTAGCGAGGTATATAGTAGCAAGTTGCAAAGGAATAACGAGGGAAGCCGGCTTTAACCTAAAACCTTTTAAGTGCGAGAACTACCCTAAGGTATTTACGTTAAAAGCAGGCCTAGCGAGGTATATAGCAGCAAGTTGCAAAGGAATAACGAGGGAAGCCGGCTTTAACCTAAAACCTTTTAAGTACGAGAACTATACTAGTACATTTACGTACAAAGGAGGCCTAGCGAGGTATATAGCAACTTACAAGGGAGTAAAGAGGGAAGCCGATATTAGCCTAGAGACTTAGAAGTGTAGATATTACGCTCGAGGATATATATAGAGTTAGTATATAAAAAGACACGAAGAATTATATAAAGCAAAGGGGTAAGCACGCTATCGCTGCCTCTATCTTAGGCTATTTTCGCTTTGTGCTCGTAACTTCCTTTATAATGCTGCTGCTACTGCTGCTACTACTGCCGCTATAACTTAGACAAGCCAACCTGTCGCTAATCGGCCTACTAACTAACAATAGCGCCGTAAGCAGCTGCAGAAGAATACATAGAACTCTACCCGCTCTGCTATCGAGGCTCGCAAGAGGATAGCAGCAAGGAACACTAGAGGCATATAGGATCTAGATTACGAGGAAACTGCGCGTCGCTAAGCAGTAGGAGGCAGCTAAGTAGGGGATAGTGATAGTAGATCAAGCCGTCGGTTAGGCCGTAGCCGTACACTATCGGCTCGAGAGAGAGAGCGTAGGCGTAAGGCTAGCTAGTAGGAAGGTGACGATGTAGAAGACTTGCTAATGTTTAGTATATAATATTCTGCGAGAGTATGCCTAGTTAAGCTGCTTCTGCGAGAGCTAGCGCTAGAATTGGCGGTGAAATAGCACTAGAATTGGCACTAGAATTGGCACTAGAATTGGCACTAGAATTGGTACTAGAATTGGCACTAGAATTGGCACTAGAATTGGCACTAGAATTGGCACTAGAATTGGCACTGGAATTAGCACTGGAATTGGCACTAGAATTAGCACTAGAATTGGCACTGGAATTGGCATTTGATAAGGCTTCTATTATGTCCTTATAAGCTCGCTGAGTCCTTGTCCCATCCCCGGAAAAGTGAGCCGTAACACTACGCTCGATCGCGTTGCTTCTGCGAGTGCAGGCCTGGTTGAGTTACTTCTGTGAGAGCAGGCCTAGTTGAGCTGCTCCTGCGAGAGCCGGCGTGTAATGTAGGATGCCTGGTTGAGCTACTTCTGCGAGAGCCGGCGTGTGATGTGTAATGCCTAGTTGAGTTGCTTCTGCGAGAGCTGGCGTGTAATGCCTAGTTGAGTTGCTTCTGCGAGAGCTGGCGTGTAATGCCTGGTTGAGTTGCTTCTGCGAGAGCCGGCGTGTAATGTGGGATGCCTGGTTGAGTTGCTTCTGCGAGAGCCGGCGTGTAATATAGGATGCCTAGTTGAGTTGCTTCTGCGAGAGCCGGCGTATAATGTGGGATGCCTGGTTGAGTTGCTTCTGCGAGAGCCGGCGTGTAATGTGGGATGCCTGGTTGAGTTGCTTCTACGAGAGCTAGCGTATAATAAACCAGCTATGGCCTATACTAGAATTGGTACTAGCGCTAGAATTGGCGCTAGAATTGGCGCTAGAATTGGCGCTAGAATTGGCGCTAGAATTGGCGCTAGAATTGGCGCTAGAATTAGCATTTAATAAGGTCCTTCCTTACTACCCTTCTATTATGTCCTTGTAAGCTCGCTAAGCAGGCTTTTCCATCGTGTTCTTTGCGATAAGGGTTTGTAGATGGTCGTAGGTGTCGATGGACATAGTCGTAGGTATCGATAGTATATAAGAGCTAGGCGAGAAGCGTAAATTCGAGGAAGCGATAAGGATGCCGAGTCCTGCTAAGACCCCGGATTTAGTATAGCAGAGCGCTTAATTGGTGGGATTAAACGTTATAGCTGCTTCCTTCCGCGCATTTATAACACCGACTTTTACGACTTTTACGACTTTTATAATAGTATTACCAATACAGCGAGATACGTCGATTTAGCGCGTTTCTAGCAAATGGCGCTAACAAAAGTGTCTAACACGATAACGACGGCCGCCTTAGGCACTAAGAACCGCCTACGAGACCCGAGAAGTTACTAACACTAGCGAGAAGTCACTAACACTAGCGAGAAGTTACTAACACTAGCGAGAAGTTACTAACACTAGCGAGAAGTTACTAACACTAGCGAGAAGTCACTAACACTAGCGAGAAGTTACTAACACTAGCGAGAAGTCACTAACACTAGCGAGAAGTTACTAGCGAGAAGTCACTAGCGAGAAGTTACTAGCGAGAAGTCACTACTATACTTATTACACCGCATACTCTTACAGGCACTACAACATATACGGCAAGGATAGATATATAGGGCGATAATATACATCGAGCGCAAGCACTCTTCGAGAAGCTACGATAGCCCTCTTACGTTAACGCCCTCTATTGCTTAGACTCTCCCTAGAACGATCATTCCGATAACTAGTTACTATATAAGGCAGAGAAAACGAACAGTAGCGTCCGGGGATCTAATTAACTAGCGGCACTAAGCGGCTACAGAAGTATACACTTAGAAGCATACTAGAATCACACATAGCCTATATACTACGCGCAATACGCAACAATTAACGCATTCCATTACTAACTATAGTACGAGGTATATAGGAAGGGACTCATTAAGCGAAACAATAATAGCTTATTCGCTAAAGCGACACTTATTAGTACCTAGACAATAATAGAGTATAACCGCGCCCTTAGTATTAGAGACACTGCGAAAAAAAGGGTTATCGAGCGCGTTGCAGTCGTATAGCAATGTTAATGCGCTTGCTAGAATAGAAGAGGAGGCGCACTACAGTCGGATAACAGTCTTAATGCGCTTGCTAGAATAGAAGAGGAGGCGCACTACAGTCGAATAGCAGTCTTAATACGCAAAGGGCTACAGTCGTATAGCAGTAAAGACTAAGACCAAGCGCCTTCGGGCTTAAGTACACTAGAGGCCCTTACGCACCAAGGTTATTATAACCAATAGTCCTAACGAAGGCGTTACGCCGACTCAACTAGATGCGTTCTCGAGAGCTATTATCCTATAAAGAATCCGAACGTAGGAAGCCTGTAGCCGCTACTTAAGGTATACCTTACTAAAGAGTTTTTACCGAGTCAGGCCTAGCCGCTACTTAAGGTATACCTTACTAAAGAGTTTTTACCGAGTTAGACCTATAGCAATGCCACGAACCTATTAACCTACTCAGTCTATTAACCTACTTAGTAGGAGAGTCGCTATAAGGTGTACCTTACTAAAGAGTTTTTACCGAGTTAGACCGTTAGCCGCATTATAGGTATACCTTACTAAAGAGTTTTTTACCTCCGCCAATCTATCTAAGACCTCTGCAGTTTGCACTGCGATGT